GCCATGGTGAAAATTGTGCTAGATATCGAACTTCGAGAAGACTCGTGCAAAACCAATAGCATCCAAAAGATCATCGATACGAGGCAGCGGGTGAAGGTTCTTGGTAGTAATTGCGTTTCATTTTTGATAGTCCATATATACACGGACTGTCCCGTTCCGTTTCGCCACGAGAACCACAGGGAATGACCAGGGGCCTAAGGAGGGCTCTACCCGACCTAGCGGTTCCAATTCCCGTACCCTTTCCAAGGCTAGTTGTCGTTCCTTCAGTGAGTAACGGTACGGTCGGCAGTGTATCAGGGCGTGGTCCCATGTATCAATCGTGTCGCTTATCAGGTGCGTTAGTCCTATATCATGATCTTGGATACTGATTGTCGTATAACCGCTAGGAGGAGACGTCGATGTTCGTTAGGTACATGGGCAGGTATCTGAATATTGATGCTCCCACTAGGAAGGGAAACCGTTGATGTGACGGTTGGGACCCGAGCGGTTTCCTCCGGGGAGGCCCCGGACAGGGAATTGTCGGTTTTACCGAATATATGGTGGCTATGAGTTGACTATCTGCTGGAGTAACTGGTTCATTTTCCGTTTCGGTTTCTCTATCGATTTCGGCCTCGACCGAGGGTTCTACTGACAATGCCTGTAGGAGTTCCTTCGAGCTCCATGTATTTTCATGGGTCACTGGAATGCTACCCTTTCGTCCAAAAGCACAACGACCTTGGCGTCTGTGAGTAGGGGTCGCGGGGGCCTAAAAGATAAGTCTCATAGCCCCCTAAGCTCGACAAACCTCTGCGGGAGGGGGTCCGGTCTGAGGTAGAGGGCCGCAGGGGGTTCCGAGAAGTCGATTAGTTGTGACACCCTCAGCAACGGTTCCCCCGTTACGGTAGAAGAGAACAGTTGACCCAAGCTAGACTTGCTCGTGCCAGGCTGCTAGCCCTTGTCGTCCCGTATCGCCGAGGTTGGCGGAAGTGGTCTTAAATTCGTATTGGATACCGGTCGGGTAAGTCCGCGTCCTCGGTTCCTGTCGCAGGTCTTTCTTCGCCCCTTTGCACCCACCGAACCATGTTGACTCTTCGAACCTCAGTGGAAATACGAGGGGTGGGCTATGCTTGTACACGTACGACCATCCTCATGGGTATTGTTTGCCATGTTTGGGGCTTAGGGTGGGCCGAAGTGAGGACTATCTTAGCACCGTCAAAATGCATTCGCACGCCTACCACCGCCTGCCACGGGATTCCTAAGAGCACATCATACGCCTGCACATCCAACACAATTGCGTCACATAAACAATGCACCCGCCCGTCTCTTATGGGAACATCCATAATCCGTCCTTTTCAGTGGATGCTATCTTCTGTGGCGGATACATACAGCTCATCGGGCGGAGGGGCTGAACTTGTTTCTCCCGACCCAACCGTTTCGTCAAACTCCAAGAGACAGCCACGACCGACGATCCCAAGTCCAAGATGGCGGCCGAGGGACTTCCCTAGACCTCGCTGTCGCACTCGACACTTTTCGACGTAATAAGGTACGCCCGCTGAAATACTTCAGGTTTCTCCAGCGGTGAATCTACGGCGTGGATCATTCTGACTCGGTTGGCCTCGTTAGTTTTCGAGGTGGATGGTTGAGTTTCGATATCCACCGATGGGTCGCTGATCGCCAACTTTTTGCTCTTTCGGCTTTCCTCAAACCGGCGCCTGTTTTTCAACCATCTCTCAACCAGTTTCTCATTGGCTGCCTCCGAAATGGTCAGTAGGTAGGGAACAGGCACTGATATCCGCAGATCCAAAGCCTTCAGGGCATCTAGTATGTCAATTTGACCGTCCTTATACAGTTATACTCGAGTCGCAGTATCCTGGGGTCTTCGAATCCGGGTCTCCACGATCCTAGGTCGCTTTCGCTGGCAACCCGCGGGGTATGGCGGATAACACCAATGGTGCCGGGTTCGAGCATCGCGGCCGCTAGATATTCATCGATCCCAATTTTGGCGGCCGCGCGGGGCCACCATGTCAGGGGTCCCCGCATCCATAACCGGCGCCACCCTCCCTTGTCCTGCGGAAGTTAGAGCCACCAGCACGGATCTGGGATGGGCCCGTGATTCCCACCTGAGATCAGGGCCGAGGACAGTCCTTCGCCAGGTTCCCAGGCTGATTACAATTGTAGCATCGCATAGGCTGAGTAGCTCCGGCTACAGCAGGCCGAGGCGGCGCCGCCCCTGCGGCGGCAGCTACTGACTGTCTTTGGGCCACAGCTGCTCTCTGCCTCTGCAACCTTGGAACAAAACCGGTTAAAGGCCCCACAACCGTCATAAGTTGTGTGGCTATCTCTTTTATCAAGGGTTCGTCTACCTCTTGTCCCCCTTGCGCCTAACTGGGGCCTGTGTGTCCATTCAACTATCAACGGGATTTTTTCAACTCCGTTGTACCCGTTGAACGGGCACAAGACCGGAGTTGAATCCCCGTTGAACGATTCAACGACCGGTTCCCGTTGTTCCACGGACCGCGCGCAACGGCTGCCGGGCACGCGGCGCAGGCGACATGAACCGAAAAAACAGGGGTTTATCTCCTACCCCGTCCGTTCTATCCCCGTTGAACCCGTTGAACGGGAGTTGAATCCCCGTTGAATGGATTCAACTCCGTTAAATCCCCGTTGAACGGCTTCGTCGTTTGACGGGAAAGCGAACAACTAGGGCTGCGCCCGCGACTGAGGCCGCATCGCCGTGTCCCCTTGCAGTGATTTCCATGCCTGTGTGTGTGTGTGCGTGCTTGCTGCTTTGCATGTCGGTTGAGTGTGCGTGACCCACAAGGGTACATCGTTTGCAAGGCCCCGCAAGGCCAGTACTTACCTGTGGCCGTGAGTGTCAAGGTTGAAGGGGGGGTAGACAGTCAAGTAGCGGGGGTAGGCCCGCGACACTTCGAGCAGGGGGGAAACACTCGAGTAGCAGGTAGGCCGGTACCGCTCGAGTAGTGGTATGAGTGTCGGGTACTGAAGGCCGAGCAGAAGAAGATAAAAGCTTGGCATTTTTAGAGGCCCAGTAGCAGTAGGCTGTAGGTTAGAGGTAGGCCGGTAGTCCAAGTAGCCCGGGTCTAGGGCCTGTCCGGAGGATAGCAGAGACTGCAATGATGTTTCCCTCTGAGAGGGAGGCCACTCGGCCTAGGAAGTCACCGCCCAGGAGACCAATAGGCCGCTATATCTCCAGGAAGAGCAAAGAGCTCTTCCTCATTTGCGGTGTGCAAGGATTGGCGACATGCTGTTGGAGCACAGCGCTGGAGGTACAACGCTGCTTGGAGGGAGAAGGGACCGCTGGAGCTCAATGGCGAGCAGTCCAGCTTGAGGAGCAGGAAGAAGGGGCATGGTAGGAGAGTGTTGAGGGACTTACCTGGTTATGGTGAACACCGTCTTCATCACCTTGTTGGGCGCTGCATCCGGAAGGCCCCAGTTGGGGTAGCGCTGCAGCAAGGAAGCTCAAGGCAGAGTCAGGCATGGAGGACCAGTCAGCAGCGGCATAGCTGCTCTTGTGTTGTCCTTTCAACTCCTTTGGACATCGGTAGCACCGTAACTGCTTTGGGTTGTGTTTTGTACAAGAGGGCATTGCCCTCATCAGTCCGCCAGCCTGTGCATAAGAGGGAAGGCTGAAGGAGGGAAGCCATAGCTATGGTGTTGTTGTTGTTGCTGTTGTTGTTGTTGTTGTGGAGTTGAGTCAGCAGTAAGAGGGAACTTCGGATATTGATTCTGGTTCATCCATTCATGGTTATTATTTTTATTGAGAGAAGAATAAGATTGGTGAAGAGGAGGAGGTTGGAGAGAGAAGGGGGGAATTGTCATTGGTCTTGCTGGTGTACTTCTTCTTCTTCGTCTTCTTCTTCTTTGTCTTCTTCGTCTTCTTCTTCTTCTTCTTCTCCTTCTTCTTCTTCTTCTTCTTCTTCCCCTCTCTTCTCTGGTCTTTATCTTTTTGCAAGTGCTTTCATTTCTTTCGCAATTGGGTGGCATTGTCTTTCGTTGTGAACTGCACTTGGGAAACGACCAGGATCGTAACAATTGAATGATTGTTGGGGGAGGGCTGCCCAGACACACAAACACAAACTCCCACACCCACACCCACACCCACCCACACACACACGCACGCACGCACACACACACACACACACACACAAACACATAAGAATAACCGCATAGAAGAACATGAAACTACAATGAAAACAAAGTAGTCATGAAATGTCATACAAAAGTCATGCCGAAGTGCCGACGAAGTCGCATATAGGAGTCCAATATGAAATACATCTCACATGGTACAATGTGTCGGCGACACTCGTGCCGAGTCGCACAGGGCCGTACACCGATGATATGCAGCCTACACCGCTAACTAATAAAGCTGAAAATAAAACCCTAACAAATATCTACGTAAAACGACAAGTCAGAATGAAGTCCCACCTCTACCAAAAACCCAATAACTAAAAAACAATATGAAAACGACGTACATAAACTGAAAAACGAAACAAACAAACACTGTCGATGACACTACCCAGTCTACCTGCATGCTGAAGTCCATGAACTGGTCCGAAGTCCCTAAAACCTAACTATATGTATATCATCCTAAACAATATACAACAACGTCAGAACACTAAGCACAAACAACATAAAGGCGTCGTGGAAGCACTGGAAGGGGAACGAAGCTGTCAATACCGTCGACTTCCCTTCCCCTTACCACTGCCTCTCTGCCTCGCCCCACTCGTGCTGCGTGTCGACGAAACACTCCCTCGCCCCGGCGCTGTCGCAACGGATGACCCTCGCCTCCTCCGACTTCTCGTCTCCCGCCGCCCTGGAGAGGACGGGTCGTCTACGTCATCATGTCCTCTACGAGAGCCACGTCGTCTACGAGAACCATGCCGCGGTGGAGGGGAGGGCTCGTCGTCTTCGTCATGGTAGCTGTCATCATCCCCGTTGTCGCTCTCCTCCTCCTCACACTCCTCATCGTCCCTGTACTCGTCACCCTCCTGTGGGGCCTCCTCACGTGCAGGCTCCGTCTCGGGATCGTCCTCCACCACGGTCACATGGGCAGCCCCCGTCCTTACCCGAACAAGCCTAGCACTCACCTAAGTCACCTCTGCGACTGTCTTCTCACAACGAAAACCGCGCGGCATCTCCAACCCCTCGGCTCCAGAAGACTCCTCCAACGCGGCATCCCCCGTGGTAGGCATCATCTGAGGCACGGAACTCGTACGAGCGACTCCGCTCCTGTGCGAAGTCTGCTCACGCACAACACGTGCTGCGGCTGCCAAAGCGGCCTGCAAGGTACACCCGGCCTGTCCAACCCCGCGAACATCTCGCGGCTGAGATACTGCCGCCATGACCTCCCTCGGCGCACCCCTCCCGGTGTCAGCCCCACCCAAACCTGGCTGCTGTCGTGCAGTGTGCACTGTGACCCGACGTATGGAGTCCAGGTTGATATCCATCTTCCCGAATAGCGACGTGTCAAGAGGGAGGCTCCCTACGGCCGTCGTGTCACGAACCCTAGGTCTGGTGGGCGTGGATGGTAAACGGGGGGGCCGACCGACTGGTGTCGAGGGGGAATCGCTGTGACGTGATCTCGGAGGAGGAGGTGGCATAAGTGGTCTGCTAGGGTCGGTGTCCTCCCGCCGCGTCACGTCACGCACAACAGCCCGTGCGAGCTTCGCGAAATCCAATGGGCGAGCTGTATCCTGAGGAGCTCGCCGCCCAGTAACCGGTGTATGAAGAACTGCCTCAGATCCTAAATCCACGACTATGACCAGTGGTACCTGAACAAATGCCTCCTCCCCAGGACCTGACCCCTGCACACACGGTCGAACTGGCCGCATCGTCGTCGTCATCTGCAAGCCTGTTAACGGTACCAGCAAACTGCTCCCTCCGGGGATATCTGCTGGGGGTGCATCCTCACGCTCCTCCTGTGGCTGCTCTACTACCTCCTCGCAACCCTGCTGAAGCGTGTCAGTCTCTCTCCCGGAGCGTCCTGCAAATGCCTGCTCGATCTCCTCTGTGGTGTACCCAGTGGCCGCTAGGGCACGCGCCACATCCTCTCTCTCTGCGTGACCAGGGGTGGGCGGATCCCCCAAAGACATGTCCATGAAATCCCCCATCCCCAGCCCTGACGCCCCCCTCTGTCCTGATGGCGACGCCCCCAGTGCCCTCCTCGTGTTCAGGGTCAAACCCGCTAGTGCGGGACCCATCTCGTCATCGACGAAACGCTGGATGATCGGGTCAAGGTCACCGCCTCCCTCTCCTCTACCATGGGCGACGTCCCCCCCTACCACACCCTCCTCTCCCCCAACCAACGCAGCAGCATCTGCCCTCACCACATCCTCCTCCATCTCAACCTGGGCATCACCATCATCTATCCCTGCCACGCTCTCCTCTACCCCTGCCACAGCCTCCTCTACCTCATAGTCCCTCGTCATGGCCTCCTCTCCCTCATCGTCATCATCATCAACCCTCGCCATGGCCTCCTCTCTCTCGACGTGCGCACCATCATCTACCTCCACCACGCCCCCCACTACTCCAGCTACCTCCTCCTCCATACCCCGAATACCCTCAACTCCGCCCGCTCCGGCGGCTCCGTGCTCCTCTGCTTGTCTCTCCCTCTCCTCCACCGGTGGTGCCCCGCTATGAACACCCATCTCCCCCAAGTCGCTCGATGCACGCGTGTGCAAAAGGAGCTGACGGGCTACGCTAAACAATGATCCATGCCCGCCGATGCGCAACGAGGATCCCAAGTCCTCCCTCCCAACCGGTGCAGGTGGGCGCTCATCACGCCGAACGGGAGCGGGCGGAGCGGATGCTGGGAATCCTGGGATAAAATGACGCGAAAGAGGCGATGGGGATGAGGGTCCGGACTGCGTAGCGGGAATAATCGTTTGCTCTCGCGTGGTCGTAGGAGCAGGCGTCTGCTCCTCCGCGGTCGATGAAACAGTCGTCCGCTCCCGCGTTGTCGTGGCAGGACCCGGCTCCTCACTCACAGTCATGGGAGCAGGCGTCTCCTCCCGCAAGGTCGTGCGAGGACGCGTATCCTCCCGCGCGGCAGTGGGTGATCTCTCCTCCGTGCCCCCGAAAGATCCCCAAAACTCCTCGCCCCCCATCATATCCATGTCTCGCTGGTCTTCCGCCCTCCGCGCGGTGTGCGTCCTCTCGTCACGCACGTCGCCCCCCTCGTGCAACTCATCAATCTCACGCGGGATGGGAAGCATCGGGTCGTCCGCTACTTCCGACTCCCTCTCGTCCGCAGAGTCATCGTCCCTGGGGTATGGGCAGAAGATAGTCACACGAGCATAAAAAACAGACTCAACAAGGGGCGGCGCAGAAGACCCAATGGGATCGCGCGCAATGAGGGCAGCCTGCTCCTTGATCTCCTCCTCCGTCTTCCCACTCCTCGTCCCCGAGCGCACAGGCTCCACGTCCAATCCCGCTTGAGCTTCAAGCATGCCCTCGTCTCGCTGCCAAGGGAGGACGTATCCACAACCTGCACGTCTATACTCCATCAACCGCACATTTGCGGTGATCTCAACAAGATGAACGACCTTCTCGAAGGCCAACTGATTACGCTTCTTCGTATGGATGCCCTCGTGGACCGCCCAGTTCCTCTCCGATGGAGAGGCGCAGGACCACATGTGCATCAAACGAAGAGCGCAATGCTGTAAATCGGGCGCGTCTCCCCCGTACTGAGACCACCACGACGCACACTCCAACGTCTCGCTGTCTCCGATGCAACTACTCTCTCGAGCGCGCCCCTCTGCCCCGCCCCAAGACCCATACCTACCCTGCTGCATGTGAAAGTCCTCGAAGTGCCAACATACCTCAAGGTAACGACCACTCGACTCGTCGTGGCCCGTCTAAGACAACAGATACCTCTTGGCTTGTCGAACAAGCCAAGTGTGGTACCGGTCGAGCTGCGCGGAGAGGTACTGAACATTCCGGCGACGGGGGTTCAGTAAGAACGCGGCGCAGTGTGCGGGCTCCATCATGTGCTGTATACGGGCCTGCATACGCCTCATGATACGGTCCTAAAAGGACTGGCCAAGAGGAATGCAAGCGTCCCGCACAAGGCGTGCAAGATCCCGGGTCCACTCTACAACGAGGGACATGAACTGCCCGCCATGGTCCATCTTCCTCAGCAAGTCCATGACAGGATCCATGACGTGCTTGATGGCATGCATCCTCTCCCACCAAGGGGACCACCTGATTTGTCGGCGCACCCAACGCGCCATGTCGCGAACGTCGGGGGACCACGGGATCCTAGCCCAAGCCCGACCATCCTCCGCTGTCATCATGCCCTGCAAACAATCCTGCAGAGCGAGCAGCCTCTCCAACATGGAGTACACGGACGCAAAGCGCGTCTCGCATGAAAGCACGAGGCCCAACGCCGCGCTCCGCTTCCGAAAGAAGCTGAGAGCGGCCTGGTGGGTTTTGAAAAACACCACCTGAACTCGGGCACGCGTGATCGTATCCACGAAAGAGGTGCAGATCGTGCCAATGTCTGACAACAACTTGTTGCAGACATGGACGCAACACGGGAGCCAAGTGATCCTCCTCAACTCAGGGGGCATAAATGGCAAGGCCAAAGCCCTCGCAGCCCCCACGTATGCAGAGGCGGAGTCAGTGCAAATAGCATTGACCCGCTGTGGGCCACCGAATCTGAAATCATGAAAGATGGCGACCCATCTCTGCAGGACGTGCACCGCATCGTCCGGCTCCCCCTCTCGATTGATCGTCATGTACATGACGACCCCCCGAGACCCAGCTACGAGGAAGTTCACGATCGGTCGCCCATCTCGTGACTTCCTCCCGTTAGAGAGGAGCGTGGCGCCACTCACCCATAATGGCTGCCTAACCTCCTCCAACTCCTCCGCCAACTGCTCGCGGTGGATCTCCACAGTTCGCATGTCTGCAATCTCGCTGTGGGATGGAAGCACGGGAAGAGGTGCTCCACCAGGTTGCCGAAGAGCAACCTGCTGGAGGTCTCGGTACGGCATGTTGCGGAAGGCATTGAAGGTAATCCCGCTGGAATACACCCAGCGAAAGAATACCTTCCTCCACTCACCAATCCACTCGCCACCATACGTGTCCGTCATTTTCTGTTGCCGTAGCCTCTTCCCTGCACTGGTGCCAGAAAGCTATGCACCCCCCTCCTTCCTCTTCAAAGAAGCCGGCGTGCTTGCTCTATCAGGAACAGCACTCTTCGAAGAACTCGGCGTGCATGTCGTCTCAGGCGGGACGACCTTCTTCCCGCACTTCCGCTCCCAGTCCACCGCCCTCTGATGAGCCATCGGATCGGACTTCGGCACGCCCCCCTCTCCCCTCGGTGTCCGCTCCCCCTCAGCCACACCAACCTCTAGGTCAATGTCTGCCTCGTCCTCCTCCGCGGCACCCGCACCCTCCCCATATCTTGCAATACCTCCCTCCGCATAATGCTCGGTATCCTCTCCCTCGCCCACACCCTGTGCAGGACGCTCCGCCTCGCCACCCATCGCACCTGACCGCGGGACATCGAGACCACACTCGTGTGCGAAACGCCGCACCCTCTCTACCTGATCGGCCTCGAAGCGGTGTGTGCATTTCTGCGCAATCTGGTACAATGCATCATCGAACACCTTCTTGCAATAATTCTGCTGGGTGAAGTGTTTCGTTGCGTAGAATTGGGTTCCCTGAAACACCTTATTGCAGAAGGTGCACCGTAGCATATTAACCCCCTTGTTGTCGACCTTCAGGCCGACAACAATGTAACGGTACACAACAGATTTGTGCCTATAATCCTGCTGCACATGTTCGGGCGCAGGCTCATGTTCGCGCGTCTGTTTACGCGGCATTGTGAACCCCCCTTAAAGTCACGCCCTTTGAACTCCCATTGAAACCCCGTTGAACCGTGCTCCCGTTGAAACCCCGTTGAAACCCCGTTGAAACCAGTTGAAACCCCGTTGAAACCAGTTGAAACCCCGTTGAAACCAGTTGAAACCCCGTTGAAACCAGTTGAAACCCCGTTGAAACCCCGTTGAAACCCCGTCGACACCCCGTTGACACCCCGTTGAACCCTCGTCCTACTGGTTCGGTGGGGGACCGCCGGCGCCGCTGATCGGTAAGGGATGTCGCCTGCACTGACACAAAATAAAACCATCAATCAATCAAACAATCAATCAATCAATCAATCAATCAATCAATCAATCAATCAATCAATCAATAGATCAATCAATCAATCAATCAATCATTAGATCAATAAATCAATC